GCGGACCACCGCGAAGGGGGGGAGGGGGGGGGGGGGGGGGAGAGAGAGAGAGAGAGAGAGAGAGAGAGAGAGAGAGAGAGAGAGAGAAATTGTTTTCTGGCCCAAAGCATGAAAACTCTTGGAAGAACGACTTCCCAGGTTCAAAGCCCAGTGCTGACTCTTCCCACATAGGCAACTCCTCTGAGAGGCAGTAGTTCATAGGTAAAATGGACAGGAGAGTCAATGTGTGTGTGGAGCAACTGGGTTCTCACTGGTGCATGCAGTGGGCTACCTGTGGGCCAAGGTCTCACAGTGTGACAGACTCACAAAAATCGCTGTGAGAGTCACAGGAGACACCACAGAAAAAATGATCTGCCTTGGCCATGGGAAGAGAAAAACCTAGAAACTGCTAAGGCTTTAGGGACTTTGATATTGGAATGAATGCATTTTGCATTATGGGACGGCCATGGGCCAAAGGTGGGATGCTATGATTTAAAGCAATGCGTTTGGTGTGAAGTGGACAAGGGGTGGACTCATGGTGAATAATCTTCATTGTCAACTTGATTGATTTGGAATCACCTAAGAAGTACACCTCTGGGTATGTATATGAAGGATTTTCTAGATTAAGTTGAGGTTAAAAGATCCACCCTGATTGTGGGCTGGGACACTGGACTGAATAAAAAGGAGAAAGTGAGCCGAGCACCAGCTTTACCTCTGCTTCCTGACTGCGGATGCAATGTGGCCAACTGCCTCATGCCCCTGACCCTGTGCCTTCCCCTTCATGAGCCAAAGTAAACCCCTCCTTCCTTAAACTGCCTTTGTTAGATATCTGGTCATGGTGATGAGAAAAGTTACTAATAGGCCTGCTTGGCCTTCAAAGAAACTTCCTGCATGATCTGGACTCCCATGACCTTCTGCCTCACCCCCCCTCCCACCTCTGTTCCTCAGGTCCTTCAGCCACTGAAGAAGGCCCTTCTGGCCCTGGAAAGCTCAGGGCCTTTGTACCTGTTGCCTCTTCACCCTAGAGAACTTTCCACCTCAAGTTTCCCACAGAAGAGTCATGTCTCAGACTTTCCTCAGCCCACTCTCCCCAGTGAAGGTAATACTCTCCATTGAACTCCCCTTGGACACATTAAATCCCTTCCTAGAATAAGTCACTATCTTTAAATACTTTGAGTATGTGTGCACTCATTTTTGTTGTTTGTTTTGAGGTAGGGCCTCCATGTAGTCCCAGTTTACTTGGAACCCACTATGTAGACTAGGCTGTCCTCAATCTCACAGAGACCCACCTGCCTCTGGGATTGCTGGGATTAAAGATGTGATCCACCATGCTCTGTGCATTCACTTTCCTATACACCTTGAAAGCAAAGACCACATCAATGCTGTTGTAATACTAATTCCTAGCACAGGTTGTAGCCCATCAGAGAAGTTAGTATACCTGACACAACTTGAGAGTGGGAGGTGGGGAACACACACACACACACACACACACACACACACACACACACACACAGACACTGAATTGTGCAGTGTACAACCCATTCATCTGCACAAAGTGGTCCTGGCTGGAAGAATGTATGAAAGGTTGCATCAGTAGGGATGGAGAGAAATCCCTTTCCAGAGCCTGACTCAGGTCATGTTCTGGGAATGTAAAGGGCTGGGAAAAGGGGAAGGAAATTCCTCCAAGTCTGGCCAGCCAGGAGAGCTGGTGGGGCTGAGTTGAATGAATGGGTCTCTGGTGGGAGCTCAGTTCTTGGTATCACACCAAGGACCTGCGGAAAGGAATTCAGCAGCTGCAGCTGCTATGCAGAGATCCACCAGGAGGTGGCAGTGTAAGCACTGTCTGGAGCGGTGATACAAACTCCCTTTTGGAAACCAGAGGGCAGGGCTCCCAAGCAAGCTTCTTCCTGCTGTCCCACGGTGAAGATGGGGAAGTGGTGACCCTTTCTTGCTCACTAGAGACAGCACAGGGTCATGTCACACGGCCCATGCACATGATTCCCATGTTCCAGATGAGGAAATAGAGCCAGAGCTGCCCCAGTTTCTTCCCTGGACCCCACTAATCCTCTGGTTCAGGGCTGTGGTGATGCTCAAATCCCAGGAGGTGTGCCTACCTGAATTCTAGGTCAGTGCACTGCCTGGCACTGCTTAGGCCTTGCAACCAGCATGAAGGGATCCCCTGACCTCCCTAACCCCGGCTCCCCACTCACCTGAGCCTGAGGAGGGATTGGGCGAGGGACGGCAGGGACTCCGCAAGCTTGCAGGCACCCACGTCAGTAATACTGTTCTGGGACAGGCTGTGGGGGCACAGCGAGGGGACAGCTCAGGATCAAAGTGGGAAGCTTTCCCTTCCCCATCGGCCCTTATCCTTAAGTCCTGGAAATGCATTTCCTCACCGGGTGGCCTAGAGTCACAGCCTCAAGAAGGGCCATGCACTGTGGATGAACCTCATAAATGTGAGAGTCCTGTTACAGTAGCAAGAGTAGATGGTAAGTAAACTGCAAGTGTTGGTGAAAGAGCACCCCCCTCCTCTGCCTGTTGGATGATTTCATAGCACCTCCTTTTCCCTCCAGGCTGCTTTTCAGCACTCTAACTAAATCAATGTGTTATTTCTTTTAAGGTTCGTTTCCTTCACCAGGTCATGGACTCTGAAAGCGGAGACGCCTCATCTCTGATTCATGATTATGTCCATGTGCCTCCAGCAGTACAGAACACACAGTAGGTACTCAATAAATTTTCAAGTGGTGAGGAAATGAGAGGGCAGAGGGAGAAAGACAAGGGAGGGAAATTTAGCTTATGGTGCACCTAGACTATTAGAAATTACCGAGACATTGGCACCATGCCATTAAGATTTCCGGTAAATTCTCCAGGCATCTCAACCTTGTTTATAACATGAAGTCCAGATAGATTAAAAAAAAAAAACTGGGGGGGGGAGTACTGGGGATTGAACCCAGGGCCTCATGCATGCTAGGCAAGTGCTCTACTGTTGCTGTGTTCCTAGTCCTTTGAAATTAAAACAATATTATTATTGTGTACATGTGCATATATAATAGGGGATGTGCCATAACATACAGGGCCTCATGCATGCTAGACAAGTGCTCTACTGTTGCTGTGTTCCTAGTCCTTTGAAATTAAAACAGTATTATTATTGTGTACATGTGCATATATAATAGGGGATGTGCCATAACATACATGGCCAGAGGAAAACTTTGTGGAGTCGGTTCTCCTCTTCTGCTTTTACATGGTTCTGGGCATTGAATTCAGGTTGCAGGCTTGTGTGGCAAATGCCTTTGCCCACAGAGTCATCTTACTGGCTCCCTTTTAACTTTTTATTTTGATACAAGGTATCATTATGTAGCCCAGACTGGCCTTGAACTCAAGATCCTCCTGCTCCAGCCTCTAGAGTTCTAGGATTACAGGTGTATGGCACCACACTTTTGGAATATTTGATGCTCTATAGGTTCAGTAAAAAACCATGTCCAGTCTCTGTCACCTTTTCCATTTTTACTTTCCAAATCCCAGGACAGTTAAGAAACTTTTGCTAGACAGTGTTTTGCTGATAAATCCTAACCTATCTCTCTTATTTCCCCACTCCAGTATAGTTTTCTATCATTAAACTTTGGTTACTTTCATTACAGTGTATTTTATTTTAACACATTATTTTAACTCTTTCCGTTAGGAAAAAATGTGTGCATAAGTCATAGGACAACTTTTGGGAGTCGGTTCTCTCCTGCCACCATGTAGGTCATGGAACTGAACTCAGGTTGTCAGGCTTAGCATCAGACACCTTTACCTACTGAGCCATCTTGTCAGCCATTTTTTGCTTTTCAAGACTAGTTTGCCAGGCTGGTCTTGAACTCATGGTGATCCTCTTGAGTGCTACTAAGCCCAGCTTACTGCTTATATTTATAAGGGGGTTGTTTGCTTCCTTGCTTCTGGTTCATTGCAAACTTCACTAGAATTTAAGATGCCTAAGGTCAGGGGATTTGTCTTGTTGAAAGCAGAATCTTCAGGGCCTCCACTGTTGCTTGTAATACCAGAGGTTCCTTAAATAGTCTTTGATAACTCATAAATAAGGACTAGAGAGATAGCTCAGCCAGTAAGGTACTTGCCTTTACAAGCATGAGTTCAATCCACAGAACCTATATAAAAAGCTAGGCATGGAAGTACATGCTTGTAATCCCACTGCTGGGGAGGCAGAGACAGGTGGATCTCTAGGACTCACTGGCTAGCCAGTCTAACCTAATTGGTAAGTTCCAAGCAGTTGGAGACCCTGTCTCAAAAGAGGTTGACGGGTTGGGAGGGGGGAGGGTGACCAAAATAGAGAAATGTCTCAGAGGTTAAGAGCAATGACTGCTCTTGCAGAGGACCTAGATTCCTATAACCCACATGGCAGCTAACAATCATTCACAACTCCAGTTCTGGGGTATCTTATTCCCTCTTCTGGTCTTTGTGGGCACTGCATGCATGGGTGCACTTACATATATGCAGGCAAAACACTCATACAAATGAAATAAAAATAAAATCCTTAAAAAAAAAAAAAGTGGATAGTGTTCTTGAGGATGGCACCTGAGGTGGTCCTCTGGCCTCCACACACACAGATACAAAGACACATGCTTAGAAAATGAATAAATAAGTGGATAATCAAGTAAAGAAAGAACTGAAGTTGTGGTCAGAGGAAGAGGACCTAATGGACCAAGCAACTACTGAATGGGTGAGTGCACAGATAACTGAATGGAAGGCTGAAGGAATGATGAGTGATTGGAGGATGGTTGGATGGATGTGTGGACAGAAAAGGAGAACAGCTGAGTGGCTAGATGTTGTGGACCAGAAGCAGTGGGGAGGCAGGCCCAGTGTACTCACTTGAGCGTCTCCAGGGCTTTCAACCGAGGGAACGTGGCGGAGAGCTGCAACACACCCTCATCCCCAATCTTATTTTCACTCAATGAGTCCAGGCTGCAGGTGGGATCAGATGGTGGTCATCAGTGGATGGTGACAGAGCCTCCTGACCCTCCCTGTCCCAGATCAGTATCCTCTAGCCCTAGATCTCCCTACTCCTTGTGTCCATCCTTAGACACACCACAGGTGACAGTCCGCTCTGAGCTCTTTTCATTTTTTATTTTGTGACAAGGTCTTGCTCTAAAGCACGAACTAGTCTGGAACTTACTATGTATTTAGTCTAGTCTTGCCTCAAACTCATAATCCTCCTGCCTCAGCCTCTCAAGTGCTGGGATTACAGACATGTGCCAACACAGGGAGTTTCACTCTGAATTTTTGAGAGTTGGTGTATACCACCTGGGGGTGCCAGTCAGCTGACGGGGGTTGGGGAGGAATGGCTAAGCACTGTGGACTAGAACCCCTGCCTGGCTTTGTAGGAGCCCCCTGAGCTTGGTGGCTTCCCTAACCTCTTAGAACATCAATTGTGAAGTGGCTTCCTGCCCCCACCTGCCTCCCCCTTGAGTTGCTAAGAGCTGTGCAGAGGGCTGTGGGGAAAAGAATGTCAAAGCTTGCAAAAGGACTCCACACTTTTTAATACTGGGGATTCCCATCCTGTCCCTTCCCTGTAATGGGGTCACAGGTCCCTTAGCAGGGTCATCTGATTCCCACGCAACTTCCCTGATGAGGGGGAGGGGGATGAGGAAAACAAGGAGAGACTCCCCACATGTCCTAGGGACAGGGTCCAGGGTCGCCAAAAGTGGCAGTGGACAGGGCCCCGGGGTCTGTACTCACTCCAGGTGCTGCAGAGAAGAAAAGGCAGGGAGGATCTTGGCCAGTTTGGGGAAAGCCTGGGGGCCTAGAACAGGGCCCAACCTAGGAAGCAAGTAGCAGAGGTCAGACAAAGAAACCACCACAGTGCCTTCTTTCAGCCATAGTGGGGTGGAGGTAGGATCTGACAGTCTGAGTCCCCTTCCCTGCCTCCTAGCCTCTTGTCTCTAATCCCTACCAATTGGGCTCCCAATGCCTCCCAAGAGGTCTGCTGAGGGCCCCCAGCTTTCATCTCTCAGCGATGAGCCAGTTCCTGCTGATGTCCACACATGCCCACTTTGTCCCCAACACCAGCCAATGTTCACCCCAATGTCATACCAGATTTCTTATCTATTAATTTCTCTCTCTCTCTCTCTGTCTTTTTAAAAAAATATTTTATCATTTTTATTTTATGTATATACATGTATTGCCTGCATGTAGATATAAGTGCACCCATGTCATGCAATGACCGCAGAGGACAGAAGAGGCTGTCAGATCCCCTGGAACTGGAGTTACGGACAGTTGTTAGCTGCCATGTGGGTGCTGGGATTTGAACCTGGGTCTTCCGCAAGAACAGCAAGAGTTCTTAACCACTGAGCCATCTCTCCAGCCCCAACTGAGTTTTCTTAAATTGCTTTCCACCTTAGTAATTTGAGACAGGGTCTCGCAGACCCTGGAACTCATTGATTTAGCTAGGCTTGCTAGTCAGCAAACCCCCAGGATCCTCTTGTCTCCACCTTGCTCCCCTGCCAAGTTTTCTATGGGGGTGCTGAGAATTCAAATTCAGGTCCTTGTACTTGTGTGGCAAGCACTTTACCACTGAGGGAGCTATCAACCCAGCCCCTGTCTTTGCATTTTAATTACAAAGAAACATTTTGGGGGCTGGGGAAGATAGCTCAATTGGCAGAGTGTTTGCTTAGTATGTTCAAAGCCCTGGGCTCACTCTGTAGCAGTGTATAAACTGGGCATGGTGGTGCACACCTGTAATCTCAGAACTTGGGAAATGGAAACAGGAAGATCAGGAGTTCAAAGTCATCCTTAGCTACATAGAGAGTTTGAGGCCAGCCTGGGCTACATCACGAGACCCTGTCTGAAAGAGAGGGGGGAGGGAGGGAGGGAGGGAGAGAGGGAGAGGGAGAGAGAGAGAGAGAGAGAGAGAGAGAGAGAGAGAAACATTTCTTGAGCACTTGTCATATGCCAAGTATGTGCTGGGCCCTTCAGTCAACTTAGATCTCACTTAAGCACCACAACTCTGAGGTAAGGGTGCCTCTTACCCCCATTTTACAGATGAGGAAACTGAGCCACAAAGAGGTTAAGTAACTGACATGAGTTTATACAACCTGATTGACTAGAATTCAAAGAAACAAAAAGATAAGGACAGTGCAGGGCTGGTTGTTTGGTTTCTAAAATATGATTAAATGTACACAGTATAAAACAACGTTTTTTTTGGTCTTTTTGAGACAGGGTCTCCCTGTAGCCCAGCTGGCCTGGAACTCACTATGTAGACTAGGTTGGCCTTGAACTCACAGAGATCTGTCTGCCTCTGCCTCCCGAGTGCTGGGACTAAAGGCGTGCACCACCTCACCCAGCTTTTATAGGGGTTGGAGAAATGGCTCAATGGTTAAGACCCATTAGCCTGTTGCAGAGGACCGGGGTTCAGTTTCCTGCACCCACAAGGCAACTAACAACCATCCATAACTCCAGTTCTAGGGGATTCACCCTCTTTTGACCTCCCTGGGCATTGCATGACACAGATGTACTTACATACATGCAGGCGATATACGCATACACATAAAATAAAAACAATAAATAAAAAATAAATCTGTTACTCTAAAATTACATGTTTTGAACTTTTAAAAATAAACTTTAAAAATGTATTTGTGTGGGTAGCCATAGAAGCCAGAAGAGGGCATTGGATCCCTTGGAGCTGGAGTTACAAGCAATTGTGAACCACCTGATGTGAGAACTGAACTCAGGTCCTCTGAAAGAGCATCAGGTACTCTTAACAGCTGAGTCGTCTCTCCAGTCCCCAAACTAATTTTTATTACATTTATTTATTTATTTTTAAATATTTAGTTTTATTTGTGTGTATGTGTTTGTCTGTGAGTATATGTCACAAGTATATACCAGAAGTGAATGGATGGCCCCCGGAGCTGGAGTGACACATGGCTGTGAGCTGCCTGATGTGGGTGCTGGGAACTGAACTCAGGTCTCCTGGAAGAGCAGCAAGTACTCTTAACCACTGAGTTGTCTCTCCAGCCCATATTTATTTTATTATTGTGTGTGTGTATGTGTGCGCATACAGAGGTGTGTGTGTGTGTGTGTGTGTGTGTGTGTGTGTGTGTGTGTGTTTTGTCTCCTTCAACATGTATATCCTGGGGACTGAACTCAGGTGCTCAGGCTTGGCAGCAGGTGCCTTTACCTGCTCACTATGTGTTGCAGAACACTGAGGCTCTTTCTGACCCTCCCCCCACCTTGCATTTGTCTTTGAAACTTCTTAACTCTCTTTGTATAACATGGAGAATTTTATTTATTTATTTATTTTTCTGGTCTTTTTGAAACAGGGTCTCCCTGGAACTTGCTCTGTAGACCAGGCTGGCCTTGAACTCAGAGATCTGCCTGCCTCTGCCTCCCGAGTGCTGGGATTAAAGGTGTGCGCCACCACGCTTGGTGGAGCAATTTCTTTGATTGTCTGTCTCTCCCTAGTGCCAGCTCCAGGCAGGCAGGGACTTATGTCTGTTTTGTTCCAGGCTGTCTTCTCCTAGCCTGGCACCCAGCAGGCAAGCAGTAATCATTGGGTGATGAAGGCCTTCATCACTCTAGCAACCTCCTATGATAAGAGCTAAGTACTGAAGGGCTTAAGACTTAGAGACTCAAAGGCAAAGGCATCTCAAGGGCCTCAGCACAGGGCAGAGTGATAGGGTCAGGAGTTTGATCCCTGGAATGACATGGTAGAGAGAGCCAACTCCTACAAGTTGTCCTCTGACCTCCACATGCACACCACGGCATGACCTGATTATCCTGTTTCTACCTCCAGACTGCTGGGATCACAGGCAAGTGCCTCCATGCCCAGATCATGTGATGCTGGGGGCTTAATCAGAGCTTTCTGCATGTTAGGTAAGCACCCCACCAACTAAGTCACACATATATCCCTCCGCTCCACAGGGTTTTGATCTGACAGCCAAGGAGGTCTACAGGGTGGGAGTGTGGAAGTGACTCAAACAGACACCCAAAATAGTCCTTTGCTTCCTTCCTTCTTTCCCTCCTTCCTTCCTCAGAACCTTCTTAGGGCTTTCAGCCTACAGGTGGCTGTTGACCCGGCTCTAGTCTGTTCCACTCCATGACCACTGCTCCCCAGAGCACAGTTCCGACCTCCAGTGAGGGGCTTTTTAAGATGAAAATAATTCAAAGCCAGAAAGTGCCCTGAGCGACTGCCTTTAGACATTTCCTCTTTTTAGTAATATTTTTACCTCTGTACAAATCTGTCATCTTATCTCCTGTTGAAAACAAGAGGTGCCTAGCTATTTGTGGAGGTGTGGGGGAGCAATGACAGGGGAGCCGACAGGACTGCCGGCAAACCACTCAACCTCAGTGGGTCACAGTTTCCAAATGTGTCAAACAGGGGCAAGTGGGGGTGAAGGTGGGGGTGGGGGCTGATGATCATCTCCTAGGGCAACCCTTTCCATGAAGGGGACTTTATAAAATGCATTGGCACTTTGTTTTGAGTTAAGGTCTTACTATGTAGTCCAGGCTGGCCTTGGACTTGTGATCTTCCTGCCTCAGCCTCCCAAGTGCTGGCATTGTAGGTGTGTGCCACCACACCCAGCTGGAATGATCTCCATGTCTCAGAAGGACCAACACTTATGATGCTTGTTCATTGAATAAAGCATAGAGGCAGGCTAACCTGGTGTTTATAACTTTGGAGAAACAACTTCATCACTCTAGATTTTAATATGCCCATCTGTAAATGAGGACATACAGCCATGTCCCATTCTAGGATCGCCTGGAATAATGGGGTGAAAGTGTTTTGCAGTTGAAAAGCTATATAGAAGCCAGGGGGCATGCTTGTAATCCCAGGTACCTGGGAGGCTGAGACAAGAGGCTCTAAAGTTCAAGGCTATCTTGAGCTATAGAACAAAACTGTTTTGAAATAAAAATGTAAGGGCTAGGGATGTAACTGACTTGTAGAGTGCTTGCCTAGCATACACAGAGCCCTGGGTTCCATCTCTAGCATGATGGTAAGTGCCTACAATACTAGCATTTGGGAGGTACAGAGAGGAGGACCAGCAGTTCAAAGTCACACTTGGCTACATAGTGAGTTTAAGGCCAGTCTGGCATACATTAGATTTTGCCAAATGAATGAATGAATGAATGAATGAATGAATAAATAAATAAATAAATAAATAAATAAATGGATGGGCTGGTGTGTAACTCAGAAGTAGAATGCTAAACTGTCTGGCATTTATTAGACACTAGATCCTGTCTAATAGATAGATAGATAGATAGATAGATAGATAGATAGATAGATAGATAGATAGATAGATAGATAGACAGGGTATAACTCAGTAATAGAATGCTTGCCTAGTATGCACAAGACCCTGGGCAAAATCTTCAGCACCAGGGGGAAAAAGCTGTTCAGATAGCCAGACCTAAATATAATAATTCCTGAGGCTCTCTGGAACTCATGTGCTGGAGGGCAGCTCCTCTGTCCTGACCCAGGCACCCCTGGGCTCCTTAGGACTCACTGTGTCTCTATCATTCTTCTCACCCTAGTGGCACTGCCCAGGATGGTTGCTCCCAGTCCTAGCTATACAGGTGGAGGATCAACTGTCCCAGTTTGCTGAAATGGAGCACTGGGAGTATAAGACTCTCAGTGCCCAAGCAGGCCAGTCTTGGGCCAGCTGGACCCTATCTTGATGGAGTCACACACCCAAAACTTCTGAGGAGGATCCTTCCAGCTGAGAGAAGAGCCAGAGGGGCATGGCTTGGGAGGGGTGCGGTCTGAGCATGTGCATAACTAGGCGTACCAGTGACTCTGCCCAGCAGCAAGGCTGGAGTCCAGTGTCTTCAGGTGGCAGGAACATATGGGCTTAGAGGGCAGTGGCCAGGCTGTGCATACCCTGGGGCAATCCCAAGTGACCAGAAGAATGGCTGGCCTGGCCTGGGGCAAGGTGCAATCATTGGCTCAGCAGGGAAAGGACCCAAACTGATGTCCTGGGGGACACCCTCTTGTGCAAAGTCATTGACTGGGCACATGGGGCATTGACCCCATATGCAGTTATTTCCTGCAAGGCCTCTCCACAGGCCCCGTGGGCTCATTCCTAATGTTCAGGCTTCCTTGTAGATTTTACCTCCAGGAAGGTTCCCCCAAGGAAGTTTGCTAGACTAAGTCTACCTTGGATAGTGGCCTCTGTCCCTCAAAGAGCCTTTTGATGTGTGTGTGTGTGTGTGTGTGTGTGTGTGTAAGTGTGTGTGTGTGTGTTGTGTATGTGTACGTTTGTGTGAGTGTTCCAAAAATGGGCCAGTTGGCTTCCAATCTAAGCATCTGCAGCATTCTCCAGATCAGCCACTCAGTAGCTACACACAGGCTTCCAGTCTAAGCATCTCCAGCAGTCTCCAGATCAGCCACTCAGTAGCTACACACAGGCTTCCAATCTAAGCATCTCCAGCACTCTCCAGATCAGCCACTCAGTAGCTACACAGTGTCCAGAAGCTGCTTTCCCAAGTGGTAGGCAATCTCCCTCATACCCACGGTGCCTGTGTCTTCCACTAGCCCTAGATCAGCTAAGGTGACAGAAGAAACCTTGGGGCTCTGAGGCAATTGCCTTTCACTTACGCAAACTCCAGCTTCTTCAGATCCCTGATGGCAGGAAGGTCCCCAGTTGTGTCCCCTGAGGGACTTCTTAGCCTACAGAGAATGGATTTTGGTAAGGAGGTGTCAGCTCCCACATCCCATCCCCTAGACTGGCTTTCTTGGGAGCTATTGTTGACCCTCCACTAAAAAGAACAATTTAGGGCTAGGAGTAGTGGCACACATCTATTTTTCCAGCTACTTGAGAGGCTAAGGGAGGAGGACTGTGAATTGGAGACCATCCTGCATAGTGAATTCAAGGCCAGCCTTGGAAACTTAGCAAGATCTTGTTTCTAAATAAAAATGAAAACAGGCTACGAATGTAGCTCAGTGATAGAGCATTTACATAGGATTTGTGAGGTTCTGAGTTCAATCCTCAGGAAAGGGAAAGAGGGAGGGAGGGAGGGAGGGAGAGAGAATGAGAGAGAGAGAGAGAGAAGGAGAGAGAGGAGAGAGATTACGGATGTGTCTGGCTCAGAACAGGCACCTAGGTCACACATAGCACACAGCAGGCACACTAAGACAGTGCAGTGTTCCCCTCCCCTCTGCCCTCTGCACCTTGGCTCTGCCATGATCTGGACCTGGGTACCCCCAAGGGGCCTGAAGGGTCACATTAGTTAGATGCAGAAGACATCCTTGCTAACTCTCTAACTCTAGCAGGTGATGTCTTTGTAACGTCAGCTAAGAAGGACCTGGTACAGAGTGTCATGTTTGGAATGAAGTAAAGGGCAAGATCAACGGCCATACCTGGGTGGTGACTGCAGTGGAGAGCTTGGGTGCCCATTACTAAGAGTCAGGGCACCAGGAAGCTCCACAAACAGGACATGCTGGACGTGCATGTGACAGATGTCATCTACCTTTGCAGCCTGGAGCTCCTCTCATCCTCTCCCCCTCACCTCTGGGTCTGCACGAGGTTGCGAAGGTCTTCCACATCCTTTGGAGACTTGGCCTTAAATGGCTCAATGGTGAACTTTTCCTCTGCTACCTGGAGCAGCTGGGTCTCTCCCCGATGTCGAAGGGACTCCCATAGTGCCATGGTGTCACTCAAGGCAGCCCTGTGGAGGGAGGGCCTCAGACCCAGGCACAGTGATCATTCTAGACCACAATGAAGGGGCAGCTTTATGAAGGGACCTACTCCCTACTCAGAACCTCTCCTTCCTTAGCACCACCCCCACCTCCTTCCATGATCATGCCAGCCCTTATTGATCTGTCCTTTCTTCAAATGCTCACATGTTTGCTGTGGCAACCAGGAAGCTCAGTGCTAAAAACCATTTTTCCCTAGTGATTAGGCTGAAGCACTCAAACAAATTTCAGGACTTAAATGAACCAAATAAAGGAATTTTGACTTCATTATGAAGGTTGTGGGGTACCCTTGAAGGACACAAGCACAGGTGGGATCTGATCAGATTTAAGTTTTGGAAGATGGCTCTGCTAGCTGAACTTAAAGAGGAAGAGAAGGGATTGGAGGCCAAGACACTGAGGGGAGGCTATGCTTTTTATCAAAGCTCAATCTGGGGCCTAAAGGACGAAAACAATTCGAATCCAGGTCAGTCTTAGATTCCAGACATGTTCCAGTGCTTGGCACATGTCAGGACTTCAAATATTGGTTAGAAGAATGGCACTGTCCCTTACTGCTTGTGTGGCTTGGATCAAACAGTTGCCCTTCTCTGACCCTCAGTATCATCATCTTAAATTTGGAGGGGAGTCCATTATGTCCCACCCGATGTAGGGCTTATGGAACAAGAGCTCCCAGAGCCATAGTTCATGTCTGAAATAAGGGAGCTCCTGCCCTGTCCCCTGTCCACACCTGAAATGGGTGACACATCTGAGTCCCGCGAGGCTCCCTAGTCCAGAGGGCTCAATGCCAGTGTGACGAAGGTCCAGGGAGAAGTCCTGGCCAGCTGTCTCCAGGGCCTTGCCTAGCATATATATGTCTGGGGGTGTGAGCCGGGTGCCCAGGAAGGAGAGGTGTGCAGGGAGCTGGCATGCCACGTGCTTCCAAATCCCAGGCTCTTGTGTCTCGTGGGCGCAGTGCAACAGCTCCAGCAGCCGTCCAGCCCTCAGTATCCCTGGCTGCAGACGCTTCAAGTACCTAGTAAGCACCTTCCGCTTCCTGTCCACCAGTGTGGCCACTGCAGGCCCCATGAGGGCTCCCAGGCAGTGGGTGCAAGGCTGAAAAACCAGTCCAGCCAGAAAGCGTGGAATGCTTTCCAACCAGTTGTCGTAGGGCCTTTTCTTCCTTGGGGTCACGGCTAGGTACTGCGGCAACTCCTTGTCTCTGATTTCACTGCACTGTGCCAGCCACACGGCACCCAGGAAACACTGTAGGAGGAAGCTTGGGAAGGCTAGTTGGGCCTCTGTAGTCCCCGGGGTGGGCTGCACCAAGCCTCGGGCCACTGCCCAAGTCCTTGCCTCCACTGATGGGAACTGAGTTTCTTGCAAGATGCTTTGGTGTCTGCGGCCCAACTCCCAGGCCAGTTTGGCCAGCCCAGCCAAGGCCCCTGGAGGACTGTCCCTGGCTGCAGGGCCTAGCAAACTGACATAGAGTCCTGTGAGTGTGCAAGGCAGCTGGGCCCCAGTACCCTGTTCCAGCAGGGCCTTGGAGAGCTGGCACATGGCCTGGCACAGAGCAGGGCTGTGACTATGGCTGAGGAGAAAAGGCTGGTCCTCCAGTAGTGTGAAGGCCCTGTCTTGGTCCCCTGCCATCCCTAAGTCCTCAAAGTAGTGTCTCACGTAAGTCCTGGCCTGCTCAGCAGAGAAGCTGGGTACCTCAAAGATGGCATCGGCTTTGCTGAGGCTCTGGGCCAGGCGGCCCCGGGGCCGTGCTGTGAGGAGCAGGGTACAGCCGCACAGCAGCTTCTGCTGGAAGAGCCCAGCCAGCAACCCCCGGAGGGAGCAGGGCTCCAGAGACAGGGGTCCACATGCTCCATGTAGGAGCCCATCTTGGGCTTCTAGTTCCTCAAAAGCATCTAGGATGAGCAAGACACGATCAGGCCGCCTCACAATGTGACCAAAGACCTCATCATCTATGACCAATGACTCCAGGCCTGGGGGGCAAAGCAGATCCCGCAGGTGGTAGGTGTCCCCTGGACGGTCCAAGCAGTGGCAAGGGACATAGAAAACAAAGTCATATTGTGGCAGCTGGCCGCAGGCCCATGCCTGGCTCACTGTCCGGGCCCAGTGGCTCTTCCCCTGCCCGGCCTTGCCCAGCACAGCAATCACTTGCGTCTCTCTTGGCTTCCGTCGGTCACTGGCAGCCTGTAGCACCTCAGCCAGACCCCCTTTAGCCAGCTGGCGCTCTACCCAGTCTGGAGTGGCTAGCTCCCTCTCTTGACTCTTATTGCTGCCTCTCTCCAGCCTGGCCCGAATCAGCTCCATGGCCACCAGGGGGCCACCTGGGCCTTCAGTCTTGGCCTGGTACTTGTCCCTCAGAGAATGGAGAAACTGCTCCACAGTATCTGCAAAGGCCAAGGGTGAGTCAGTCAGGTAAGGGGTATATAGGTGGCAGGAGACTGCACCCTCACCAGATTCTCCATCCACTACACACACTGTGTCAAGCCTCTGGCTCATTCATTCATTCATTCATTCATCCACACCCTCTCCCCACACCCTTTCATTTTTTTATTTCTATTCATTCTTTTCTGGCTTTAATTTTTAAAAAAATAGTTGGAGACTAGATCTCACAAAACCTTGGCTGGCCTTGAACTCACTATGTAGTCAAGGATGACTTTGAATGTCTGATCCTCCTGAATGCTGAGTGCTAGGATTACAGGCATGTGGTGCTGGGGATCAAACCCAGGTCTTTGTGCATGCCAGGTGGGCACTCTTATCCACTGAGCTACATTCCCAGTCCTTTTTGTAGGTTTTAAAATACAGGATCTCATTCTATACCCAGGATAACCTCAAGCTTACAGCAATCCTTCTACCTCAGCCTTTGGACACTGATTACAGGCATGTGTCATCATGCATGGCTCTTTTTTGTTTGTTTGTTTTCAGCATTGGGGATGAAATCCAGGGTGTCAAGCTTTCTGGGAAAGTGCTCTGCCACTGAGCTGCACCACAGCCTCTTTGTGTTCTGTCTTCTTAACCCTTCACCTACTAGGCTCAGTGACTCATCCCTATAGGGTGGGGAAGAGAAGTCAGTCATTTACAGATTCAGCATATTAAGTGACACAGAAAGATAAATATTACATGTTTCCTTTCATATGTAGACTCTGGATACATATACAACACACTAATATGATATGAAAATAAAAGTAAGACTATTTGGGGGATGAAAGAGACAAGTCAGAAAGGAAAGGGAGAACAGGAAATGGTAAGGAGGGGGAGTGTGAGCAAAACACATACATGTATGAAATGTCATGATGATACCCACTATTATGTGCAATGAATATATACTAGTTACAATTAAATTTTTAAAAGACAGTATTAGGACTGTAGAGATGGCTCAGAGATTAAGAGTGCATACTGCTCTTGCAGGGGACCTGGGTTCCATTCTCAGTACCCACATGGAGGATCACAACCTCCCATAACTCCAGTTCCAGGGAATCTGATGCCCTCTTCTGGCTTCTGTGGGGCCTTGCACATACATGGCACACATAAACTCACACAGGCAAACACACACATAAACAAACACAATTGTTTTTAAAAAGACAATAGGGCTGAGGATGTACCTCAGATGGTATAGTGCTTTCCTAGAATATACAAAGTCCTAGGTTTCACCCCCAGGAATGTGGTGGTATATGCCTATAATCCCAGCACTCAAGAGGTAAAGATGGGCAGATCAGAAGTTCAAAATTTCCTCAGTCACATAGCAAGCTGAAGGACAGCCTGGGATACATGAGACCCTGTTGAGAGCAAGCAAGAGAAAGTCTATGTGTGTGTGTGTGTGTGCATGTGTGTGAGAGAGAGAGAGAGAGAGAGAGAGAGAGAGAGCGTATGTGTGTGTGTGTGTGTGTGCATGTGTGTGTGAGAGAGAGAGAGAGAGAGAGAGAGCAAGAGAGAGAGAGAGAGAGCAAGAGAGAGGAGCCCATGTGCCTGAGTTCAAATCCCAGCCCCCTTCATTAGCATGACTTAAGCACCTGTACACTTGGCTGTGCTTCAGGTTAGTCATCTGCGAAATGGGGGCAGTACTAGGGCTGGGGGGGCTTTATTGAGAGACTTAGTGACACATGTGGAAGGGAGTACCCAGCAATCTAGCTCGTCTCTTGTTCCTCCTGGTACCTTCCTTCCACTGCTCCACATTGACTTCTTCCATCCATGCACTCCATCACTCTGTCTCCCCCTTTTTAATCCTCTGCCTCACAAATGCAAGGTCAGCTCCCATGCCAGGTGGCTCAGGGTGGGGACTTAGACCCTGTGTGCATACTGCTTGTGTAGCAGAGTGCTGACAGAGAGTCAACAGACGAGGTACCGAGTCAGCACTGCAGGAGCAGAGGTGAAGCTAATTGGGTTTCTGTGTCAGGTCTCCAGGACAGAGGGGCCCTATTGTCACTCACCTGGCCATTTTGGAAGCTTGAGGGGGGACTCAGCACCTGCCTGGCTTGGGGCAGGGGATGTTGTGTCCTCTGGAGATGGGAAATAAACATCAAGTTAGAATCTGGGGATCTTCCAGGGGCTCCTCTCAGTATTGGGGGCATCCTGAGGACAGAGCCACACCTGAGCCTCCAAGTCCAGGTTCTAAGGAAGTGGCTTGAGGTTGTATGTGTGCCTTTATTTTGGCTAACTGAATTTTTTTGTGGGGGGTACTCGGCAGTACTTTATTTTATTGAATTTTTGCAATTTTCATACAATATATTTTGATGGTATTTAGATCCCCTCTCCTACCTTCAGCCCCCCGACAGCTGTATTTAAAAACATTATTTTTTTTAAAAAAAATTGATTTATTTTTGTTTTATGTGTATGAGTGTTTTGTCTGCATGTATGTAAATGCACCTGTGCATGCAATGCCCACAAAGATCAGAAGAGGGCATTGGATCCCCTGGAACTGGAGTTGTAGATGGTTGTTAGCTACCATGTGGGGGCTTGGAACTAAACCCTGGTCCTCTGCAAGAGCAACAAGTACTTTTAACTGCTGAGCCATCTTTCCAGCCCCAATTTTTTACATTTATTTGTTTGTTTGTTGAGCCCTCTCTCCAGCTCTTTTTTTTTTCCCTGCCAGTCATGGTGGTACACACCTTTAATCCCAGCACTTGGGAAGCAGAGGCACCGGGATCTCTGTGAGTTTGAGACCACCCTGGTTTACATAGTGAGTTCCAGGCCAGCTGGGACTACAGGGAGACCCTGTCTCAAAAACACCCCCCTCAATTTTTTTTAAATCAGTGTTTTAAAGATCATAGTAAGGTAGACATAAGGGTGCATGCCTATGATCTCAGCACTCAGGAGGCAGGAGGATGGCTGTAAGTTCAAACCAACCTAGTAGGCTTATATTGAGTTTCAGGCCAGCCAGGACTATATAGCCAGACCCTGTCCTAAAACAAACAAACAAGCAAAACAAAGAAAAACAGGGGCTAGAGAGATAGCTCAGCAGTTAAGAGCACTGGCTGTTTCTGTAGAGTACCCGAGTTCTGTTCCCAGCATCCGTATGCTGGCTAACAGCCATAACTTTAGTTCCAGGGGATCTGACACTCTTCTCTGGCCTTCGTGAGCATTGTACACATGTGGTGCACTTACATACATGTAAGAAAAACAATCATACACATGAAATAAAAAATAAAGGAAAACAATAGTAAAAGCAAGGTACCTAGGTAAAACCTGGGCTTCCAGCTTCTCAAGGCCTGGCTATGCTGGGTCTGTTTCCACACCCATAAAGATTGGCAAGAGGCTGGTGGTTCTGCCTGGATGGGCATACATGCTCCAGCTGTTACCCTGCCCTCAGTAACACCCCGTTTCCTGGAGACCCTCCCTCCTGACTAGTCACCCATGAGCATAACCTGCCTGTCAGTCATGTTGCCAATTCCTCTAGTGGGGCCCAGGTCCTCACCTGTCTCTTTTACACGGGAGGTCATTGCTGGCTCAGGTAGGCTGGGTAGGTCAGTTGCGGACGGTGCGAAGGGACTGGTGGAGCCAGGTCGGTCTGGGGATTTGGGGAGGCTGGGGACAGTGGGGCTGCTTGAAGGGAGTACTTGGTTGGCCTGGGGTATCTCACCTACACCGAAGGTAGAGAGGGATATAAGTACCCATTGGGGTTACACTGTGCCCCTCAATCAAGCCATAGACTATGAACTAACCTTTTTCCCTCCAGAAAAAGAGGCTATACCTATGTCAAAGGCTGACTGATTGATTGAACTTCTGTGACTAAGAAGAACTGGAATGTTGCAGGTCCAGAGCAAAAAAAAAAAAAATCCTGAGCTACCCTTAGCCTCCCAAATAGCCATTTATTGCTCACTTCCATATTTGATCTAACAGGTGACATACTTTCTGGAATATACTCAAAGACCACTAGCTTCCACCAACCCAAAGCCTAAGGATGTTATCAGACAGTGTGAGGCCTATGGCAGAGACTTCCCTAACTTTACTGTAACCCGCCTACCTGATATTCCCACCAAGGTATTTGAAAAATGCCTAGATCTATCTCTCTTTGTTCTGTTACTATAAAAACTTCATGAAATTGTTACCATGTTGGAAAATGGTATCTGGGTCCTCCTCAACCTGTGTTCCTTGACCCTGGTCACTCATAGCTGGCTCTAGAGCAAACCATCTCATTGCTTTTGAGATGAGAGGTTGGTGAGTCTTGGAAAAGAGGAAACATCCTAACAAAGATATTTCAGGGCAAAGCTGAGGAAAGAGCTCTGAGTTACATCCAGCTCCCAGAGCCTGGATTTCCTTATCTAGGAAATGAACACAGGCAGCTGACAGGGTGCTCATGAGGGTTCTGTTGTGGCATTCTTTCCATGGTATGGTCAGCCATCATTTCTGAATCATCACTGCCTTATGCAGAAACTGACATGTGTCCCTAAAATGAGGCTCTGGACTTGAGCAGAAACATCCCCTACCTCATCCCTGAGAGCCCACACATGCCTCCCTGGGCCTATCCACAGCCTCTCAGTAGGGTGGATCAGCAGGCACCATTTTACTGATTGGGGAAACAAGACAAATTAGAGAAAGCTGTGCTAGGATGTGCACCAAACTGCATCAACATACTAAAAGGGAAGGGACACTCAATTCTAACTCTTGAGCATCTCTCATTCTTTGGCTTATTGTGTATTATTGATGCCAGAGCTTAAAAATAAAACATTTAAAGGAGGAAAACCTAAATGGGAATGGTGACACGTGCCTAGATTACCTCAGAGACCTCTGCCCCCCCCCTTTTTTTTTTTTGGGAAATGAAGATAAAAGTGTTCTGGAGTGGGAGGATCATGAATGGGTGCTACACTACAACTGCCAACTGCCAAATGCCTGGGGTTGAAGAACCATCTCAGGGAGTTAGGAAGGAAGAAGAAGCATTCAGTCAGTCACCATGCTAGGTCTCATACACTCACCATGGTAGATTAGTACACTGGAGAGCCCTGTGCCAGTCCCTGAGATTTGCCAGAGTCCCTGGGGCAGAGCAGAGAGGACCTGGAAGGGTCCAATTGGGAAATCCAGGCAGCTCAGTGAAGTTCTGGAAGGGGTTGCTGCAAGAGACAGAGGCAGTAATGTGGGACCAGGGGACCATCTCAGCTCTTGCCTTTGATATTTCTGTTTAGCAATCTGGGGTAAATGTCCGACTCCCCCCACAAAGGGCTCTCATTTCTCCAAGAGGAGAAGCTGAGCCTGTCATGTGCATGGTTGTGTCTCCAGCACCTAGCAGTGTGACTGACAGAGACAAGGATCTCTGTGGAAAGGTAACAAGGAAACAGAGCTGGCAGCTGAATTCTCCCAGTTGGCAGAGTTTCCTCCTGGGCTCCAGGGATGCCTCCCAAACTAGGCACGCTCTCCAACAGAGTGTGAGTGATGAGGGACACTGAGGATGATGCTGGTTGGGATAGAGGGGGTGACCCTGGTGGGGACAGGTCCTGTCCCCTGCTAGGTGCCAACTCCTCAGTCACCTCCCAGAAGGGTGGAAGCCTGCCTTCTCCAGGTCCCCACATACCAGGTGTCTGAGCAGCTTCCTCTAGGTGTTTGTGGCTTGGCGCTGGCTCCTGGTTGGACAGAGCAGGTGGTGGGCAGGGCAGGGTGGAGAGGCTTGCTGGGCCCATCAGGAAGCTTCCACTTAGTATGGGTATCACAGAGGGCTCAGCTGTGGGAGAGGGAGCATTAGAGGCTGAATGGTTGTGGGGAGATAGGGAACAGGTCCTCCAGGGCAGTGGGGAGCTCTCATCTGGTAGCTAAAGGAAATACCTATCCCCCCAGGCCCTGGTATTGGGGTTGGTCAACTGCTGATCCATACAGACAGTGCCCAGCTTCTCCTTGTGGCAGACCCAGGGGTGTCCCCAGGAAATCGACAAGGAGAGCTGGGGGCAGACTGGAGGAGCCTGTGTCTAGACCCATGGCTCTAGCCCCTCTAACCCACCCTAATAGGTCATTGAGCCCTTGGGGGACTATAAGTGATTCCTCAGCCTTCAGCTTCTGCTCAAAGAAAAGCATGTGCCCCGTGAAGGTAGGCAGGGGCTCACTCTCCTCTGTTAAGTGTAGAACTATGAAATGGGGCACATCTGCCTCCTTCATCATATTGGTGACTTCCTGAGTACTGAGACCACCTTTCCATCACTCTGGGGGCTTCTATGGGGGGAGTTCAGTGGAAGAAGCTGAGTCTGTCACTACAGTGCAGGCTGAGGGGTCTCTCTCTTGGTTTGTGCCCCACTCACCCTCTCATCTGTGTGATCCTGAACATGTGACATCACCACTCTGAGCTGTCTCTTTTCCTTCTTTAATCTTTCTTTCTTTCTCTTTCTTTCTTTCTTTCTTTCTTTCTTTCTTTCTTTCTTTCTTTCTTTCTTTCCTTCTTTCTTTCTTCCTTTCCTTCCCCCTCCCCCCCTCCCTCCCTCCCTCCCTCCCTTCCTTCCTTCCTTAAACAAATACACATGATGAAAGAGAAAATCACTCTCTATATGTTCTATTTTCTTCCTTCCCCCTCCCTCCCTCCCTCCCTCCCTTCCTTCCTTCCTTTCTTTCTTTTCTTCCTTCTCTCTCTTTCTATCCCTTCCTTCTTTGCCCCCCCCCTTTCTCACTTCCTTCCTGGTGCTGGGGGTTCCCAGGGCAGAGCCTTGCCCATGCTAGGTAAACACTCTACCCCTGAGCTACCTCCAGTCCTGAGTCTCAGTGTTCAACCCTGGCTTGTGCTGTTCCTGAGGAGGCCAGGGCCCCCCACCTGGGATTCTCTGGCCCACCTGCTCAGCTCACCTAGCTTCCTGTGCTTCGGGTCTGTGGGCCACTCTTCTGGGAAGCCTGTAGAGAGAACTCTGAGATCAGTGACCTTGGGATGGGGTGTCCACAGTCAGGAGTTCTTGGGCCCCAGCAGGCCACTCCTTCCCTCTTACTCATGGCACTGGCCAGCTCCCCGTTTGAGCCCAAGTCTCAGCTACAAACATTGGAGCAGGGAGGTGGGGAAGAGGCAAAGACACAGAACCAAAGAACAGGCAGCTAGAGCTACAGAAACCACCAAGGCAAGTGCTCTGGGCCCAGACGAGTACCAATTGCACAGCCTCCTGGAGCCTCACTGCTTCCAAGTGAGGACAGACTGAGGACACAGGAGACTGGGCAGGAGGTTCAGAGGGGTTTCAGTACTCAGCCAACATCACACAGCTCATAAACAGCAGATCCAGAATTTCAGACCCATGTGCTTAAAGAGGTCTCCCTCAGACACCCAGAGATAAAGAAAAGCCAGGATTTAAAGCTCATTTGAAGAACAGGAATCAAAGTGCCCAGGGGCAGACCCCCTCTGGGACAGGGAACGTCTGCTTCCTCCCTGGGTGGACAATGGTAGAGAGGGAGGCAGTGGGGAAAGCAGACTGGACTTAACAAGGGAAGCAACTGGGAGCCATAGCAGATTGTAGAGCCGAAAGTGGACAGGCCCTAGTCAAGGTCAGGCTGGGTCAGGGAGGGGCTCACGCACATCTTTTCTGAGCTCTCTGTCCTGTTTCTGCTTGGACCTCCATGCTCTCTCCGAAGCCTTCCTCTGGTCCAATGTGCTCTACTTTAGAGAAACACCAGAGACTCACGTCACAATCATGGAATCCCCACCCCTGGGGAAGTCTCCAGTGTCCCTACATTGGGAAGGTGTGGTCAGCAGGAAGTCCCCAAGGTTGAGAAGGAATTGAGACTGAGCCAAGACCCCCTTCCCAACTTACTGAACAGGTCCTTGCTAAGGCCCTCCAGCTGGGCATCCTGGAACACGTATTGATCCAGTTCCGCTGCCAGATGAGGAAGCACATAGTCAGCCAACAATATCTCCTAGTAGTCCCTGTGTGTCAGACTTTGGGACAATGCCTAAGAGTTGCAATTCTCCAAGGCCTGGTATACAGTAGGGGCTCTATAAATGTTGCCGAGTAGAAAGTGATCAAATGAATGAATGAATGAATGAATAGCCATTGCTTTTCATGGTTTTTGTCTAATGGAGGGGTGAAGTGTGTTTTCATGAAAACACATCTACCACCACAAAGTAGCTCAGAGCAACAATGCTGGCATGGGAGTCAAATTCAGATTCTATCTCTATTCTCCACTAACCCCACTTGTTGGGTGACCTTGGGCCAGTTACTTATACCTCTGGTCCCTGTTTCCTACATAAAGAGAATAAATGGTGGGCACTACCCAGAGGTGGACAGGGATGGTTACAAGTGTTGTATTTAAAGCCTTCAACACAGTAACCAGTATACAGTAGGCACTCCATAAATGATTGTGAGTTAAATCAAGTAACATGTGCTTTGGAGCTAATGGGAAGACAGCTGTAAGGCAGAAGCTCAGAGGAAAGTGTGTGGAGTGAGGTGGGGAAATCAGAGGGGGCTTCCTAGAGGAAAGGATGCTGGAGCCAGGCCTTGAAAGATGATTTCAGGTGTGTAGGGAAGAGAATAGGGAGGCAGAATTTTCAGACGGTGCTTGTGAAGCTCTGAGGGACAGGTAGTGACATTGAAGTTTCATGTTGGGGAAAGTTAGGAATTGACCTCATGGGCCAGAGGGAGCCATGGAAGGCCTGGGAGCTGAGGAGCAAACAACAGCTATGGTGATGATAGTGGAAGCTGGAGTGTGGTATCTGACAGACAGTGACTGAGTGTAAATTCCCTTTCCTCTGTCATCCTCATCTTCACAGCTGTTCCATAAGACAGCCAGGATGGTATTCCCTATGGTAGAGGATATGTTGGGCTGCTGTGAGTGGCAGACAAGGGCTCAGCCTCTGCCTCCCAGGCACTAGAGAAACCACCTTGTGGAGGCCCTGAGGAAGTTACTCTACCAGCTGCTCAGGTAGTTTCCACTTCCTCTGAGATTCTCTTTCCCCTGAAGTCCTAAGGACCACATCTGATCAGAGGACAAACACCTTGCCTGCCCCTAAAATCAAGAAGGGAAGGAACCAGAGAGTCCAGGTTCCCTAGTTTCTGAGACACGTATGATTATTGGTCTCCTCTGTCCCTGCCTCTGTACTGTGCTAAAAGACCTCTAGAGTGGATCCTGGGTTGTCAGGGAAAAGGTCCAAGAACAACTAACTGTGCAGGTTGTTCACTGCACAAAGGTGCCCAACCAAGAGGACAAACAGGGACAGAAATCCAAACCACTTTGATAGCCAAGCCCTTCTTTCCTGGTAGAGGTTACATCCTCCAGAAAAGGGAAACCTTTTTTTAAAATTTTTATTTTTTTATTTTTTTATTTTTTTTATTAACAAAGGCTTTCATGAGATCATAATGACCTGGTGGGAAGCTGTGTCAACAACACTCCTCTTGATAGAGTTCTGCCCAGTTCTGAAAGCTGGAGCTCTTTTTATTTTTAAAACTTAAAAAGTATACTTATTAATGTGTGTGTACATGTGTGTATGAACATGTGCTTGCATGCCATGGAATGTGTGTGGAGATCAGAGGACAACCTGCAGGAATTGGTTTTCTCCTTCCACCATGGGGGTCCTGGGGATTAAACTCAGGTCATTAGCCTCAGTGGCAAGCTCCTTTACCCACTGAGCCATCTCACCGGCCTTGTATCTCTTTTTAAAGCTGCATACCAGTCTCTCAACTTAAGCCTTAGCAAACTGCTCAGCCACAGACACTGCTTTTTGTGGTTAAAAGCAGGGACTTTGAAAAGAGGAAGACTTGGGAGAGGATTTCAGATCTGTTGGTTATCATCTCTGACACAGCCTTCCTGAGTCTACTTCACCTCTCTCAACCTCAATTTCCTCATCTGTAAGCATTCTAACAGCACAGACCTCCTTGGTTGTTCAAAGACTTTAATGAAGTCATGCCAGTACAGCAATTAACATACTACCAGTGTCAGTAAATGACAGTTGTAAGAAATGCCAGCGTCATTGGCTTGGGAGCTGGTGAAGAGTATGTAGTCTGTGCTTTCCTGGCAAGAACAGGAACTGGAAAACAATATAGACATGGAAGTGAAGGGCTGGGTGTGGCAGGAGGATTGCCATGAGTTTGAGGCAAGCCTGGGATACATAATGAGTTCCAGGCCAGCATGGGATACACAAGACCTTGTCTCTACAAACAAACACACAAGAAAGAAAAAAGGAAGGAAGGAAGAAAGAAAGAAAGAAAAAGAAAGAAAGAGTGATGGGAGATGTGGTTCCGTTGACAGAGTGCTTGCACAAAGCCCTGAGTGTAGTCCTTAACACCAAATAAACCAGGTGTGATAGGGCACACCTATAATCCCAGCACTTGGCAGGTAGAGGCAAGAGGATCAGAAGACCAAAGTCATCCTTGGTTATAGAGCGAGTTCAAGGTCAGTTTAGGTTACACAAGACCCTGTCTCAAAATCAAAACAATAAACAAAAAAGAAAAAAAATGGATAGAAAGGAAGGGAAGTGCCGTAGAGGGACATTGTTGGCCTGGAGATCATCAGGGAAGGAGGCTTGCAGTTCCCTCTCTTCCAGCCCTTGCTTCTCCCCAGACAGTACCCTCCCCCGCACGCTAGCAGTGATTTTTGAATTGAGGAACCTGACCCTGTGAGATAACTCCAGATAACTCTTCTCCTTGTTCTTCCTCCAGCCTCCACCGCCTTCTTACCAATGTTGGCATAGGCCTCCCGGGTCTCTTCATCTCCTTCTATGTCCCCCAACAGCTTGCTGAACTGGTCGCAGTTGATGGTGTCTGTGTCAGGCTCTGGAAGGGGAGAACCCCTGGGATGAGGTGGGGACAGTCTGGGAGGAGGACTGGTGAGAAGGAGGGAGAGGAGTACTCCAGACTGTCCTGGGTTAGGAGGGAGCTTGGGCTGGACTGGGAGCTGTCTGTGGTGCTGACGGCTCATCTTTCCCTGGCCTGCAAAGGCCTGGGGAACAGGGCCTACCTGAGCTGAGCTCGATCTCTTCCTCCCGAGCCAGATCCATCTGGTCATAAAAGTGGTAGAGGTGTAGGGGATCAACATCACTGTTAAGGAGATCCAGGTAGCTTCCCTCCAGAGTCCCCAGCTCCATAGTGGCACACAGGCCGCTGCCTGGGAGGAGAGACAATTCAGACCTCTCATGGGGTGTTGAGCAGAGGCACAGAATGAACACCCACCACTGTTGAGGGCTGGTAGTTGGAGCTGAAGGACATGAACATAGGGGCTCCTGTAGTTGGGGAAGGAGTTTGAGTACCAGATGTAAGGACTTAGGCAAGTTGCTTAGCCTAAGTACCAGTTGTGTGGGGAAAGCATGCTCCCTTGTGGAACCTTGAAGAGCCAAGGGTGGTCTGTGTGATGTGACACACAGAAGCCTGTTAAAGAAAGCTCATTGTTTTGAGGGGTATCAGAGTGAGGACTCCACCAGACTGAATTCTCTTACCACACTATACCTGTTCCATTCATGTCCAGATCTCTTCTTGGCTTGGGACTTCCCAGTGTCCACAGAGCCATGCTTGCTGTATCTCTGCTGGCTTAGAAACTGCTTCAAAAGTCCCTCATCTGGGACTTTTCCCTTTCTATCAGTTCCAGAAGGGACTGGAGGCAGAGATGACTCTGGTCACCCCAGTGTGGAAAAGGATCCTCTGCAGCTGCCCCCAGCCCAGGGCAATGGCACAAGCCAGCTCACTACACGTGTGGAGTGCTATCCTCAGTCCACTCAGCTCCCTAGCCATATGCTAGCTAATCTTGATTGTCAACCTGTCAGGATCTAGACTCACCTAGGAGACAAGCCTATGGGCATGCCTATGGAGAGTTTCTAGATTAGGAAAATTGAGGTGGGAAGACCCATCCCAGCATTGGATGGTCGGTTTCACAGGCATCACCACTTGAGTGTCACTCACACCTCAGTGACTTGTATTTTTGTCTCTCAGATGAGGAACCAGGTTTAAGGAAATGAGTAGCAGACCACATCTTCTTTTGCTACCCTGGGAGGTGCCCTTGACTAGGGAGGGAAGGTGTGGGTGGCAAGACAATTTCTTCTGAGGAGATGCTGGGGCAGCAGGGGAAATATCTTTTTGGTGAATAGGCAGTATGTTTAGGTCTTCTGCAAAACTACCCTTCCACTTTCCACAACCCGAGAAAACGTCCCCAACACTTTGCAACTATGAGTTCTTTTTTTTATAAAATATATTTTATTATTTTTATTTTATGTGTATAAGTGTTATGCCTGCCATGTATGTAAGTGCACCCATGTTGTGCAATGCCTACAGGAGGACAGAAGAGGGCATAGGACTCCCCAGAATTGGAGTTACAGATGATTATTAGCCATCATGTGGGTGCTGGGATTTGAACCTGGGTCTTCTGCAAGAACAGCTAGTGATCTTAGCTGCTGAGACATTTCTCCAGCCCCCCACATAACCATTCTTAACCCCCATCATACTTTCAGCTACGGATACATTTCCAGCTCCATTTCAGAGTACAGTGGCAGGGTTTAGGCTCTTAAAAAATAATTAATTTTTATCTTATGCGTATGAGTGTTTTGCCTGCATTTATGTAAGTGCACTCTATGCATGCAAACCTGTGGAGGCCAGAAGAGGGCATTGGATCTGAAGTTACAGTTGTTGGTGGCCATGTTGGTGCTGGGAACTGAACTCAGAGCCTCTGAAAGAAGCCAGTACTCCTAACTGTTGAGCCATCTTTCTAGCCCCAGAGTTTAGTTTTTTTTTTGTCTCATTTATTTTTTTGGAAGCAGTATCTCATTACATAGTCAGACTAGTCTGTAATCTACTATATAGTTCACTCTGGTCTCAGACTCACTATGTAGTCCAGGCTGGCCTTGAAGTTGCAACAATCCTCATCCTGCTTCTGCCTTCCAAGTGCTGGGATTACAGGGGTACAATACACATAGAGCTACATGGCAGGCTTTGAAAGAATATGTGTACAAACTGGGCTTGTCTCCCCTCCCCTCTCCCTGCTTCTTGCCCTCCTTCATGTATCCAGGCTTCTTGGCTTCAGAGATAATGTGACTACCCCCCTCACACTCCTCCACCATGCCTTCCCCACCACTATGAACTTTACCCTCAAACCATGAGCCAAAATAAACTCTTTGTTCCTTAAGTTGCTTTAGCCAGGTATTTTGTCACAACAAGAAAATAATTAACCCATAAAATCTCAACAATATGGTAGTCTAAACCAGACCCTTATAATGACCACACCAGATGACATGCTAGCATGGACAGGAGAAATTCCACAAAGTCCTACACCTAGATGAAGAACTACAGGCAATCAATGGCTCCTGAGAGAGGGAGAATAGGTTTTCTCCAGGGATGATGATCTCCTTGATAGGTTATCCAATTCCATGTGGTCAGTTCTTAAATGCACGTACATACGAGCATTTTATAGACTTAGTAAGTTATGTATATTCATATATATTTATTTACAGGAGAAATAGAAAATTGAGAGGGAATAGGGATACTGTGGGAGGAGCTGAAGAGGGAGAGGAAGAAATGGAAATGATGTAAATACATTACTCATGTATAAGATTCCAAAAAAGTTAAATTACCACTAAAAAATAAAAAAATAAAAATAATAAAAATAATTAGTTTTAGTAACATGGCATTGAGTGAATGGTAAGACACGGGACATGCTCCAACTCCAGATATGCAGAGGGTCACAGATGGGAAGGAAAAGGCAGAACAAATGATACAAGAACACACACGTGCAAAGGACCCCTTAATGCACTGTCATGGGTGCCCAAAAGGGCACTAAAAAATAAAAAAATAAAAAAAATAAAAATAATTAGTTTTAGTAACATGGCATTGAGTGAATGGTAAGACATGGGACATGCTCCAACTCCAGATATGCAGAGGGTCACAGATGGGAAGGAAAAGGCAGAACAAATGATACAAGAACACACACGTGCAAAGGACCCCTTAATGCACTGTCATGGGTGCCCAAAAGGGGAAGAGGAAGGGAATGATCGAAATACTATGTGAAGGAGCAGGGCATAGAGGTGGCAGGAGGATCAGGAGTTCAAGGCTGTCCTTGGGTACTTATTGTTCAAGATCATCCTAGGTTATATGAGACTGTGTCACAATGTGGGTGGGGGGTACTGGAGAGATGGGTAAGCCAGTAAAGAGCTCTTCACACAAGCAGGAGGGTTTGGCTTCCCAGCACCCACAGAAAAGGCAGGTGTGGTGGCACATGCTTATAATCCAAACCCCAGAGAGGTGGAGACTGGAAGATCCCTGGAAGCTTACTGGCTAGCCAGTGCAGTTAAATCAACCACCTATGGGCTCACCGAGGACCCTGTATACAAAAATAAGGTGGAGAATTGGCAAGATGGTGTAGAGGGTAAGTGCACTTGCCATGCAAGCCTGATGACCTGAATTCAATTGTGAGAACCCATGGTGGAAAGAGAGAGTGGCTCCTGCCAACTGTCCTCTCACCTCCAGATGTACCCCCTCCCCCCAACCTCTTATAGGAATCACTTTACAATATAGATATCTCTGGACAAATGACTTTTACCTAACCTTGCAACAAAAAAGTTAATCTTATCTTGCTTTTTTATAATGTAGGCAAGCTCAGCGAGCCTTGGTCTCCTCTTGTGACCTGGGCGTGCAGCCTTAATCCCTCACGACTCTTCCTTGCCCTGAATAATGGACATATATGTATATTTTGCATATCAATCAGGCAATGGTTGCAAACAGCAGATGCTTGTTGGAAGCAATAAAGATTACCCTGTTTGTGTTGCAAACAATAGATGGGACTGAATAACATGTTTGTGATTGTGTGTGCTAGTCTAGTCAGTAGGGGTCAAAAGGGACATAATCCTTTGATAAGACAGTTCCATCTTTCCTTCCCCATTTCATGCTAGATATACAATTTCAGTAAAAGAAAAATCTAGCTCTTTGTGAGCACAGTTCTGGGAGTAATCTGAAGGAATAGGGTCTCAGAATGGTTTGAGCTCCTCTTGGCTAAAATGGATGCTAAGAGTCAGTCTGTCTTTAGTCAAGTATTGTTATTATGTGATATCACATCGTAACCGCCACACCCCACAAATAATAAAGATCATCTTTTAAACAAGGTGGAGAGTGATTGAAGACATTGACCTCTGCCCTCTATATGCGCTTATACACAAATGCACTCATGCATACACACACACACAAACACATGCATACACACAAGAGAGAAAAATACGTGCAGAGTAGGTTGATAGTACTCTGAGCTGAAGTGTTCAATGAATTCAAGATGTAAAAGCTCCTGAAGTGTGAAGAAAAGGACAGGATAAGTCAAAGCACAGGCAGTTCTATGGAGAGTACTGGTTCACTGTGGTTCACCAGCAGGAGCTGCCCAGAGCCTATACCTGGAGATGCTCAGAAAGCTGGAAGTGAGTGCACCTGCAGTCCCAGCTATGCACGAGGTTGAGGCAGGGGCATCATTTGAGCCAAGAGTTCAAGATCATCTTGGGCAATATGGTGTAGGCCTCATCTCAAAGCCAAGGTGAGGAGAAGGTAGTATATAATGGACAATTCAGTATATGAAGATAATAATATAAATGTTTGTATATGTTTACATGTGTATGTGCATGTGAGTGCAGTGCCCACAGAATCCAGAAGAGGGTGTTAGATCCCCTGGAGCTGGACTTATAGGCAATTGTAAGCCACTTGACTAGGGTCTTGGGAACCAGACTTTGATCCTCTGGAAGGGTAGTGAAGTTCTCTAAACCTCTGAGTCATCTCTCCCACTCCAATATAAATTTTTTAAAAGGAACAAGTCAGCTGGGCATGGTGGCACACACCTTTAATCTTGGCACTCAGAAAGAAGAGCAGAGGCAAGTAGATCTCTGTGAGTTCAAGGCAAGTCTAGTCTACACAGAAAGTTTCCAGGTCAGCCAGGGCTACATGCTGATAACCTTGAGACCCTATCACACACACACACACACACACACACACACACACACACACACACACAAAGGGAACAGGCTGGGGCTGGAGAGATTGGCTCAGTGGTTAAGAACACTGACTACTCTTTCAGAGGATGTGGGTTCAGTTCCTAGCACCCACATGATGGCTAACAACTGTCTTTAACTCTAGTTCCTCGGGATCTGATGC